ACAGAAAAACAAATAGCTTCTGTAGTTATATGCTTACAGTAAAGCACAGGATTCATAGAGCATGAACGTCATTATTTTAATATGCACAGTGTGATAAAGTAACTAATGTAATGGACCATAAGTACTGAAGCATGAAATATAATAACTCAGTTGGCAAATCCAAAATAGAAATTTACATAAAGGGACCTGGAAATACACATTCTCCTATAAGAGCAATCGTTCAGTGATCTGTGCAACTTCAGGCACCAGCACCCTGTAAGAGGAAAGGGGGAGCAATGTGTCATAACTATTCCTGGCTGGTATAAAATTTGTATTGGCATTGGCTGGGTATGCTGTGCCACTAGTACGCATTTGCAAACTGACAATTTGAAAATCAGCAACGATTTGCTGTACATTTAGTAACTGATTAAATTGTTATAGTCATAATTCTAAATAAATAAAAAATAAATAAATAAATCTCTTAACCAATTAGCCAAAATGGGAGACATATTTCTTCAATAGTTCTGTTAGGGGCTGTGTGAAATATTATATATACACTTTTGTTGGTTTAGCCCTGTAGGTGAATGCAGCATCTGTCTTTACAGCAGTAAGTAGTCATACATTAGGTGTAAGCCTGCAGATAATAAATACAGACATCAAAATGCACATAGACAATTACATCGTTAAGTAATCCTTAAAATATAGAGTCACAGTTATATTAAACATCCATATACATACATCAAGATGTCTATAGCACAATGCACTGGGGAGTGCACTTGCTAGGTGAGGATATTCATGTATTCTTGTACAAAAAAAAGGGCACGCTCGAGTCTAATTGGATTTCACATGCACCAGGAGCAGAATTAGCTTTCTACCTAAATACTGCATCACTTTGCTTTGAACCCAATTCCAATAAAATAAAAGCTGTATTCATTGCTAAATACCTTCCCAGGACCACCAAGCATTTACTTAGACATTAAGGAAAGAATCCTTAACTCCAAATGCCAAACCCATTATACTTCATTAAGATATAATTAGACTTGCACATGACAAGGCAGAACTGCATATTTGTACCCTTCAGCCTGCCCTAAGAGAATTGCTTTCTTTTTTATTGCCTGTGTGAACCAAATAGCATGCCAAGCTAAAGCTCCAAGCATATCGATACAGGGGTCTGTGTAAAGTCTAAGCAGGCTGAGAGCAAAGGATTAGTTGGCATTCTGCTTTAGTGTGAAATTCAGCAAGGTCTGGCCAGCCTCCAGCCTGGAGCAGTAAACAGATTAGAGCATGGTAATGGTGCTGTCAGGAGCAGTTTTCCTCTGCTATCTATTGCTTTCAGGGGGAAGTTATTTGGGCTGTACAGGCTGGCTTCCCTACAATGCAAAGGCTCATAAATAAAAGTTCTTCTAGCCTCCTTCATTGATTCCCTCCCAGTATTTCTCTGCAGTCATCACTGACCAGTTAACACAATGACTGGTCCCAATTCAGTGCAGCTGCACCTCTGCCCCCCCCCCAAAGTAAGAGCACCTTCCCCCCCCTGTGCCTGTCACATCAGCCCATGGACCAAGCTTGTGTAGCATGGACTGGGACCATGCCATGAAGCACATCGCATGCATCATCATCTAGAGAAGGAAGCAAGGGATTGACTGTACCTTGGAAGGCTCCAGCAGAAGCAGAAGGGTGATGATGAGGAGGCTTCGAGGAGTCTGCATGATGCTGCTCCTCTGTCTGGCCAGCACATCAGCAGAGCTCCTCGCTGAACATCCTGCGCTGTCCCTGGTGCTGATCCAGCAGCCAAACTTTGGAGCCCCGCAGAAGGAGAGCAGGCTGGTGATAGACTGGAGGAAAGGAGGAGGAGGAGGAGGAGAAGAGCTTCTAAGAGAGGTGCTCAGACCTGGGCATCGGATGTGACATCACACAAGCTCTGGGGGTGCCCCCCCTGGCTGCATGGATTTTGGGGTGTTTCTTCTTAGAGGAGGATCCCTAAAAATTAACCCGAAAGGGGGGGGGGGGCTGTGATCAGCGCTTGTCATCCAGAGATCCACCTTCTACTCTTCGAGTTTCTGTTCTCCGGCTTGTCACTGTACATCCAGCTGTGTGTGTGCCACTGACAGTCTGCAGAGACGTGCGGTGCCCTCTGTTGGGGGATCGGCTCACGCCCCTTCGGTGCACTAGGGCACTCCTAGAGCCCTTGATCACTCCTAGAGTCCTAGATCACTCCAAGATCACTAGATCGCTCCTAGAGCCCTTGATCACTCCTAGAGCCCTAGATCATTCCAAGATCACTAGATCGCTCCTAGAGCCCTAGATCACTGCTAGATCACTGCTAGATCACTCCTAGAGCCCTAGATCGCTCCTAGATCACTAGGCACTCCTAGATCACTAGGACACTCCTAAAGATCTCGGCGATGAGTGAACTTAAGAGGATCTGATGGCTGAAAGGGTTACACACAGCAATCGGGGCAGCCAAGGGTTAACCCGAGAGAAGGGTTGTTGTAGTCGCTGGGTGGATGATTGCTGTGTTCTTTTTGCTGCCTGGGAGGTGGACAGAGAGGATGAACACAATGAGCCCCGAGGAGAGGATTTCACAGATGGACAACCTGTTACCTTCTTTCCAACTGCAAGGAAAGGCACAGCTGCCTCCGACATGGTCATCAGTGGTCAGGACACATTGCTGTCCCTATAGAAGAGCCATTACACATGATGATGGTGAGATCTTCAAACCACTAAATAGAAAAAAGCACAGACTCTTCGGATTCTCCCCTCCCTTCTCTGGGAAATGAGTAAACAAGAGACTCTCAGTATTGTTACAAATGTGTATAGCAGACATTCTCAGTCAGGGCTCCTTCAGGACCTACTAAGGGTTCCTTGAACTGTGGCCGATCGACCTTCCATCTGATAGTATGGGCTCCAATGGCACTGAGGAGCCACAGGCATGACGATAGTGATTTTTGTAACTGCTTGTAAAGGAGATATTCTGACCATCAGTTTAAGGGACATTCTCCCGACTGCCACTAACATAAGGGGCATTCTTCCTGCTGGCCACCAATGTAAGGGGGGGGGGGGGCAGTCTACCCACTGACCACCATCAATGTAAGGTGCATTCTTCCCGCTGGCCACCAATGTAAGGGGGGGTAGTCTTCCCACTGACCACCATCAATGTAAGGGTCATTCTTCCCGCTGGCCACCAATGTAAGGGGGGGCAATCTTCCCACTGACCACCATCAATGTAAGGGGCATTCTTCCCGCTGGCCACCAATGTAAGGGGGAGGGGGCAGTCTTCCCACTGACCACCATCAATGTAAGGGGCATTCTTCCCGCTGGCCACCAATGTAAGGGGGGGGGGTAGTCTTCCCACTGACCACCACCAATGTAAGGGGCATTCTTCCTGCTGGCCACCAATGTAAGGGGGGGGGGGGGACAGTCTTCCCACTGACCACCACCAATGTAAGTGACATTATTCCTGCTGGCCACCAATGTAAGGAGCATTTTTTCCCACTGGCCACCAATGTAAGGGGGGTACAGTCTTCCCACTGACCACTCACAATGTAAGGGGCAGGCATTCTTCCCACTGACCACCAATTTAAGGGGCATTTTTTCCACTGACCACCAATGTAAGGAGCATTCTTCCCACTGGCCACCAATGTAAGGGGGGGGGGGAGTCTTCCCATTGACCACCATCATTACCACTGGCCAACAATGTAATTCTTCCCACTGACCACCAATGTAAAAGGGCATTCTTTCCACTGGCCACCAATGTAAGTGGCATTTTCCCACTGACCACCAATGTTAGGGATCATTCTTCCCATTGGCCACCTATGTAAGGGGGGCATGTTTCTCACTAGTCACCAATGTAATGGGGGCATTCTTTCTACTGGCCACCAATGTAAAGGGGGCATTCTTTCCACTCTCCACCAATGTAAGAGGCATTCTTTCCACTGAATACCAGTGTAAGGGGCATTCCTCACCCTAACAACCCAAGTAAACAGAGCATTCTTCTCACTGTCCACCACTGTAAGGGTGGTATTCTTTCCAGTGGCTACCAATGTAAAGGAGGCAGTCTTCCTACTGACTACCACTGCGAGGGTGGCATACCTCCCACTGACCCCCAACATGAGGGACATTCTGCCCTCCAACCACTAATGTAAAGAGGGCAGTCTTCTTACTAAGCACCATTGTAAGGGGGACTTTCTTCAATCCAGCCAGCAATGTAAAGGGAAAGTCTTATCAATGTAAAGGGGGCTTTGTTCCTACTGCCACACAATTTAAGGGTAAAATTAATTCCACTGGCCACCAATGTAAAGGGGCATTCTTCCCACTGGCTACCCATGTAAGGAGCATTATTCCCTACAGTCGCCAAAATAAGGGAGATAGTCATCTTACTGTCCACCACTGTAAGAGTAGCATTTTTCCAACAACCACCAATGTAAAGGGGGCAGTCTTCTTACTGACTACTGCTGGTAAGGGGGACATGCTTCTCACTGGCCGCCAATGTAAAGGGCATTTTGCTGTTCATTTACCAATGTAAAGGGGCAGTCTTCTTTCTTACCACCACTGTAAGCAAGTGCATTTTTCCCACTGGTCACCAATGTAAAGGGATCGTTTTGCTTACTAAACCCCTAAGGAATTAATTTTAGCAAGGGTTCCCTGAGACCTGAAATAATTTCAAGGGTTCCTCTTAGATAAAAAGATTGAGAAAGGCTAGTGTGAATGGTGTTGGTCAACACAGCAGAACAAAGAGTAAGAATAATTTGGAAAGTGCAGTATCCAGAAGCAACCAATTGTATTTCATATTACTACAGTAAAAAAGGCAGAACAATTGTAAGTAAATGTAGATTTATGTTCTACTTACATTATTTAAAAAGGACACAGGAATACTCACTAAAAACGTGTAAATGTTTACAGTGAATAATAATGTGTAAATGTTTAGAGTGAGCATGCACTTTGTCCACAGGGCTGAATCTATCCTGTCTAATGTGGGGCTGCAGCAAAAAAAATCAGAAGGGCAGAGGATGGGGGGTCAGCAGGGCAGTGAACAGGGGGTCAGCAGGGCAGTGGATAGGGTCAGCAGTTTGTACGGCAGCTTACAGAGGCCATTAAAATGTAAGGCAGTGAACAGGGGGCTGCTGGGTGGAGTAAAGAGTCAGCAGGGTAGTATACAGGGGTCAGCAGAGCCGAGGATAAGAGCTAGCAGGTTGGCAAGGCAAAAAAATGGGAGTTACTTCTGGCAGAGCAGAGGACAGGGGTCACTGCTGGCAGGGCACTGAACACAGCTCCTTCTCCCATCCCTGCACTGTACACAGCCTGGGCACAGGCATCAGATCTCCTCCTCCCCATACAGCACATAGCTGACATCAGATTCCCTTACACACAACCATGATCTGCTCAGCATGTAGCTGGCTACTGCAGTTGTGCTGCCATTCAGATCAGGGAATTTCACAGGTCAGAACTGCAACGTAGCCAGCTATAAACCATGCAGATCATGGCTATGTAAGGAAATCTGATATCAGCTATGTGATTTGTGGGGAGGAGGAGTGCTGCTATCTTTGCCTAGGCTATGTGCAGTGCAGGGATGGGAGAAGGAGTTCACCATAGTTGTCAACATTTTAAAAACATTTCTATGGTCATCTTTTTTGCTGTCTGTTCAGAAAAACCTTGTAGATGGAGAATATGGGGCACTCATTTAAAACAGGTGTTGTTTTACAAGCAGCATATCAGTAACCTTTATGGCATACTTTAATTAAACATAAACAAGAAAGCTGTACTTATGATAGGGCAACATAGTATAGTGGCAGGTTAGGGTAGTCTAGGGGCAGGTGAGGGCAATCTATTGACAGGTTAGGACAGTATAGTGGCAGGTTATGGCTGTATAATGGCAGGTGAGGGCAGTTGTAGTAGCAGATTAGGACAGTATAGTACCAGGTGAGGGCACTATAGTGGCAGGTTAGGCAGTATAGTAGCAGGTTAGGGCAGTATAGTGGCAGGTTAGGGCAGTATAGTGGCAGGTGAGGGCAGTATAGTGGCAGGTTAGGGCAGTATAGTGGCAGGTGAGGGCAGTATAGTGGCAGGTTAGGGCAGTATAGTGGCAGGTGAGGGCAGTATAGTGGCAGGTGAGGGCAGTATAGTGGCAGGTTAGGGCAGTATAGTGGCAGGTGAGGGCAGTATAGTGGCAGGTTAGGGCAGTATAGTGGCATGTTAGTTCAGTATAGTGGCATGTTAGTTAAGTATAGTGACAGGTGAGGGCAGTGTAGTGGCAGTGAAAAATATAAAGAAATTCCTCTTGCGCTTATATGGAGTGGTACCTATACAGCAAAGCAGCTGACACTCCAAACTGATACCTTAACAGTGAAAAAATATAAGTTAATATATAGCGCAGCGCTAAATCAATAATGTCAATAAATCAAAACATGCAAATAAATTATCAACCCAATATTAAAGTGATATAACTCACAACACTCTATACATAAATAAAGTGCAAAAAAGTGCTCCAAAAAAAGTGTTCACAAAAGGTGTAAGCTGAGGTCCTTAAATAAATCTCCAATGCGTGCAATAATTCACACTATGAATATGAAATGCATTCTACAATAATAATTAAAGCAAACCCCCATTCATATAATACAAATCCCCTATATAAAAAAAATTACACTCTCTGTGACTAGTGTTGATGTGGCCAATATAAACTATAAATAATCAGTCAAGAAAAATCTCAAAAGTCCATAAATAATCCAAATCTTGCTCCAAACATCAAAAAACTCATACAGAATGATAATAGTGATGATGTCTGTGAAGGTGTCAGTACACTTATCCTCCGTGGCTAAAATGCCCCCTCACCTCCACGCTGCGACCCAGTGGGCCACTACGCCTCCAGGATCACTCCTAGATCCTTCTCCAATACGGGCTGATATCCTTAGTACTCCACCTGTAGTCCCCCTCTTAGGTTGGAAATAAGTACTCCTGGCCTTCCAGGATAGATAAATCAGCTAGATATGCCCCTCACCATGGATCATGGTGAGAAAGAAAAAGATCCTCCATAGTGTAGGAATTAGGGTAAATAAGGCTCTTTTTATTAAGTAATAAAATGGCCACTCACTTTGTTGAAATCGTGTACAATCACATAAGAAACCTCATGCCTGTGTGTACTGCATGGGTTAGGATTACTCTGGGTGTGCAAAGATGGCGTCCGCGCTGGATGTGTGTCACCGTGTACCGGAAGCTGCGTCACGGTGTATCTATGTGTGGCGTCACTCAACCACGTGACTTCATCAGGATATAAATATATATAACCCTGTTATGCTCTGTGTCAGCACTGCCTGCTTTGCAACATGATAGCCTTGCCTCCTGGTAGCCGCTCCTTCTGCACTGAGGAGGAGCCATAGTTAGGGTACGTTGTCACTCATAAAGAGAATCAAGCACAGGAAGCCGGATTCTTCTTTTAGAACAAGTGACAGCCAGAGGTGGTGGTACTACCTGCAGTGAGTCCCTGGGAACCATTGCTGGGTTTCCCACATGTTATTGCTAATTGCCCCATCCCCTCACTTTGGAGGGATTTCTGCTTATTTCCTGTTGTGTCTCAGGTACAGGAAGTGAAAGAAATATTTCCAACAGTACAGAGGCAGATAGAAATAAATAAAAACTGATGGGATTCAACACTTTCCCATTATCTCTCTCAAAAAAAAAAATGCTGCTTTAGACTCACTTTAAACTGACTGAAAAAAAAAAACAGATTTTCAATTATTTGCACCTTTTTTCAAATGTATCTGCTTCAGAAGAGAACAGAGATTTTCCTTTTCAGTAAATTACATAATTACAATAAAGTCACTGCAGTGTTACACAATTACATTGTAGCATAATTATGTGATTTACCCGACTACACAGTGGGTTAAATATATCATAATGATTGACAGGTGTAGGAAATCACTTAAACCAGTTATAAAGACGTTTTTTACCTAATGCAGGCCATAGATGGGTCGAAAATCGGCCGATTTTTCTTTTAAAAAAACGAACAATCGGTCGTTCAAGTGGCCGACGTTACCACCAATGGTAAAAAAAATCGGCCGATTTTCATCCCGTCTACAGCCGGCAAAAAGTGTCCCTGCAGAGAGCTCTGCTATTTCTGACAGTTCTCTGACAGTTCCTTGACATGTACAGCGGTTGCAACATTGTATCTATTTGTTTCCATTTAGGATACAGATGTTTTTTATTCGGAAACAAATAGATACAATGTTGCAACCGCTGTAAATGTCAAGGAACTGTCAAAGAAATAGCGGAGCTCTCTGCAGGGACACTTTTTGCTGGACTGGAATTCCTCTTATTTTCATCCTACTTCTTCCTCTTCATCCTCATCCTCTTCTTCTTCTTCTTCTTCATCCTCATCCTCTTCTTCTTCATCATCCTCATCCTCTTCTTCTTCTTCTTCATCATCATCCTCTTCTTCTTCATCCACATCCTCCTCTTCTTCTTCTTCTTCTTCTTCTTCTTCTTCCTTCATCCTCATCTTCTTCTTCTTCTTCTTCTTCTTCTTCTTCACCCTCTTCTTCTTTTTCTTCTTCTTCTTCTTCCTCATCTTCTTCTTCATCCTCTTCTTCTGCTTCTTCATCCTCTTCTCCTTCTTCTTCATCCTCATCCTCTTCTTCTTCTTCTTCTTCTTCATCCTCATCCTCTTCTTCTTCTCCTTCTTCTTCTTCTTCATCTTCTTCTTCATCCTCATCCTCATCTTCTTCTTCATCCTCATCTTCTTCTTCTTCCTCATCCTCATCCTCTTCTTCTTCATCATCATCCTCATCCTCTTCATCATCTTCTCATCCTCATCCTCTTCTTCTTCTCCTTCTTCTTCTTCATCTTCTTCTTCATCCTCATCTTCTTCTTCATCCTCATCTTCTTCCTCCTCATCCTCATTCTTCTTCTTCATCCTCATCCTCTTTTTATTCTTCTTCTTCTTCTTCATCCTCATCCTCTTCTTCTTCTCCTTCTTCTTCTTCTTCTTCATCATCTTCTTCTTCATCCTCATCCTCATCTTCTTCTTCATCCTCATCTTCTACTTCCTCATCCTCATCCTCTTCTTCTTCATCATCATCCTCATCCTCTTCTTCTTCATCTTCTTCATCCTCATCCTCTTCTTCTTCTCCTTCTTCTTCTTCATCTTCTTCTTCATCCTCATCTTCTTCTTCATCCTCATCTTCTTCCTCCTCATCCTCTTCTTCTTCTTCATCCTCATCCTCTTCTTCTTATTCTTCTTTCATCCTCATCTCATCTCTTCTTCTTCTTCTTCTTCTTCTTCTTCTTCTTCTTCTTCTTCACCATCCTCATCCTCTTCTTCTTCTTCATCCTCATCCTCTTCTTCTTCATCCTCTTCTTCTTCTTCTACTTCTTCTTCATCATCCTCATCCTCTTCTTCTTATTATTCTTCTTCTTCATCCTCATCCTCTTCTTCTTCTTCTTCTTCTTCATCCTCTTCTTCTTTTTCTTCTTCTTCTTCTTCTTCCTCATCTTCTTCTTCATCCTCATCCTCTTCTTCTTCTTCATCCTCTTCTCCTTCTTCTTCATCCTCATCCTCTTCTTCATCCTCATCCTCTTCTTCTTCTTCTTCTCCTTCTTCTTCATCCTCATCTTCTTCTTCATCCTCATCTTCTTCTTCTTCTTCTTCTTCTTCTTCTCATCCTCATCCTCTTCTTCTTCATCCTCATCCTCTTCTTCTTCTTTCTTCTTCATCCTCTTCTTCTTCCTCATCCTCTTCTTCTTCCTTTTCTTCTTCTTCATCCTCTTCCTCTTCTTCTTGTCCTTCTTTTTGTCTTCCTCTTGCAGGTCACTGCTCATGCGCAGATTTTTTATCGGTAAAAAAATCGGCCGATTTGCCCACTAATTGCCGCGAAAATCGGCCGATCGGCAAAATCGGCCAAAATCCCGAAAAACGGCCGAACAAATAGCCCACTAACGATCCGAAAATCGGCCGATTTTATTTTCGGCCAAAAAATCGGCCGATTTTCGACCCATCTATGGCCTGCATAAGGCTAGGTTCACATGTATGCATTTTCCATAGCATTTTATGTTTTGTGGAAACACACAACAGTCCATTTAATTTGATTTCCTATGGGACACATTCACATCTCTGTGTTTTTACCCAGTGCAGTTTTTGGAAAGGGTCAAGGACTTTTTTAAACGCTCTGTAGACTTCTATAGACTTCAATGTAGTGCGTTTTTGATGCAGTTTGATGCGGTTTGAGTTTTAATCTGCCTAGCAGCAAGAAAAACACCCCCCACAAAACACATCAAAAACGTGGCAAAAACGCATGTGCAAAAACGCAAAGCACTTCAGAAACAGCTCAAACGCAAACTGCATAGGTGTGAACCTAGCCTTAGGTAAAAAAACGCCAAGTGTAAAACTCAGGGCCCTGCATAAGTTTAGGTTCA